TGAAAAAAACGGGAGCTCGGACTCCGAGAGGTATTCGGGCACCGAGAGCGGTCCGTGATCATCATCGGGGGAACGTCGGTGGCCCCGTTGCATTCCGCGCATTCCACGCGACCCTCCGTCGCACTCGCGTCCCTCTCGCTCGCACTGCGTGTAGTTTCGTATGCACCGGATGCAACGACGGCGACCCGACGTCCGCCTGGTCCGCCTAGCCGGGAATGCGCACACGTCTCAAATATCGTATCTTCAACCGTTGCCACAATAGTTAGAAAATTTCACCGCGGACATTTCCAGGGTTACCAGTGGCGGAGCTCGACTCGGCTTTACATTGCTTTTCTCGTTTACGTAACTCTACATTTATTACATATGTAACCATAGCAATTTCTCGTTTAATGCGCAGTTACATGCGTTTCGTGTTATAGGAAGCCGTACATTATACAAGACTATTATTGTCAGAAATGAGAATATGTTTCTCTATTACAGATAAATAAAAGATGATTTGACATTACAGCAAGATAAAGTATTCTTACTTAAATAAAAAAATATTCTTAAATTAACAATAAATTTTATTAAATAAGCGGATAAAACGAATCTTAGTTATTAACGAGATTAGATTTTTTTGGTTTTAATTTTCAACTTAGTAAAAATTATTAACAACATTAATGTACATTGTAGAAATAATCTTGTCGCAAAAATGCAAATTAGATTGTCATACAATAATATATGACAAGAATTGCACTGATTCATTTAGAAAAAACACGTAGGATAATTTATTGCGAATTATCAGGATTATCGTAAGAGAAACTGCATTATTATTATTATGCGTATTTTTTCTATTTCTACGCGAAGCACTGCTTTCGTGAGTCATTAACGCGGATTACTATTGTTGCCGTTTATTCATTTCGGCATAGATTTATTTTCCGAAATGTGTTCGCGAAAGATTTAGCGTCTATCTGCGAATTGCATCTTTCGCAGGAGGGGTAATAACGATGCGTACAGACTTTACGCAGGCGATCGTAGAATACCAGATGCGTCTGTGAATTCGCTACCTCCTGCCACGCAGCACCCTGCACGCGCGTGCTTGCATATGCTCGGCCACGCGTGGGTGATACTTGCAGAAAACGAGTAGCCGCGACCTGTATAATACGGGTCTCTGTCTCAAGGTAACGCGCCTACTTCACTCGTGAATTGCGCGTTTAACGCAACTCCAAAGTCGTTCCTTTCTGAGGCGCTTTCACAGAGAAGGCTATCTTTCTCTCCTCCGTTACAGGTACACGCGTGTTCTAGAATTATCTACAGTCTTGTGCCCGTTTCAATCGATGTAGATAATTCTAATCTTAACTCGCTCTCCTCGTCTCTTTTTTAAACAAATATATTGTCGAGATTGTGAAGCATCATATGTGGGCCAAACAGGTAGATGTTCGAAGACACGCATAAATGAACATAAAAATCACTTAACTTGGGACACACTACACAGCATTCTGTGATAACAGAACACAGAATCAGTCATCAGCATGATTTTGATTGAGGAAAAGATGTCAAGATGTTAGACGAAGAAAAAGTACTTAATGAAAGATTGATTTCGGAAGCGATCCAGAAGAATAAAGCAACAGAAACAGAGTTTGAATTTACAGAATGATTCTTTGGATCCACTATACATGAATTTGTTTATTGAATGACGTTGTTATTACCCTCTTTTGTTCTTATAGTTTTATTTTTATTTCAATAATTACTTGAATTTATTATTTT